CAAAAGAAATTATATCAATACAAGCTGCTCAAGCTATATGGTGTTGCCCAATCTGCTTCCTCTATTACTTTGGAGACTCATAAATCACCTCAGTAGCCCTTTTGACCAAAAGATATAAAATCAGAATTTGTCTATTCCCCTGCCCATATAATTATAACAACCATAAGCATTCAATAGATCTAGTAACCAAACTTCGCAAATCCAATACCCTCTTACTTTATTATACAAATATCAAAACTATTCACAACACTTACATTTACAAACAAAATATCAAACTAACCTGGAAAGAACTATACACACACAGGAGTTATATCACTCCTGGTCCAGTTCCAACATGGTTTTCACTTATCCCCAACACATCTTCAAATATACATGACAACTCAACATTCCTTTCCAATACCTCTAAAAACAAATTCTGTGCCTTTTTGAATAACAATACCATCAATCTCATTAAAGTTTGCAGCAATGCCATCAGATCCACAACCATTAGAGACAAGCACTATCTACTCAATAACAAGAAAATAATTTCTTGTTCATGCCCAATTCAGTCTTGTATTACAAAAAAAAACATAAACAACCTCAAGTTCATTTGGCACATCTTGCATCTTAACTCCACATACCTACTTAACAATATTTAGGAACTCATTGAATCCTTCTCTTTCAAACCACAAACTATTCCACAAAGACTGATTTTTCCACCACATCTACCTAATACACCAGCGATTATATATTTTCATCATAACAAAAATAATAACAATCTGACAGTATCTAAACCATCGAATACACTTATATACACACTTCATCTCAACTTCTGAAGCATTTTTTGGCCAGTACTCTATTAAACCCTAGTTGACACTCCAGAGATATCAACTATCAATATTTTTCTCAACAAAATTCCTAATCTAAAGGTCCCAAACTATATTAATAGATCAATCAAAACCTTCTCAATAGACTTATTAATGAATACAACACTCTCACAACCGAAAAACACATCACTATCTTATGGCACAAACTGAATAACCACCAACCACTATCTTACATAAACACGAAGATCAACACACCAGTTCCTCAATGCTTTTCTTCAACATTCATATCATCACTACTAATCAATAATACACATGCAACAAGTATTACTTATTGAATTAAATTCATAACCAATCTTTTTGATATCTTTCTAAGTCACTTAGCTACATACAAACCCTCTTCCTTCGAGAAACTAGAAACCATTATCAAAGCAAACAACAAACTCAAAAAATCCAACCAAACAAAATACAAGGCACTATCTACATTTAGAATCAAACTTCTTGCAAATTAACTTCCAACTAGAACAAAACTTCACAAATGCTACTCTAATCTTTATTCTGATAACTTATGTCCAAGATGTGATATATATCTAGAGGATCTTTTACATATCTTCTCCTGTTTATACATCAAACCCTTACTAAACAAAAAGAAACTCAAACTTGAAAATCTTATCCTTGACCTTAATCCCAAAAATATCAAAGAAATTAATTTCACCACAACATTTAAATTAACAGACAGCACTTTATTGGATTTGGCCATTGGTAAATTCAATAATCCATTCAACCTTCTTCACAAAAAAGAACATATTTCCAATTACATCCTGAAAATTCTGCACAAAGTATGGAAATTGAGATCCATCACAGCAACAATCTTATCGGCCTTTGGAATCAAATAGAAAAAAACAACTAGCATCAGCACAACAAGTACAATTGCTAATGATAATTTCACATTCGACAAAATCTTAAACCTGCTAAATGTCATATTCAACTACACTGACAAATCAATTTTTACTCCTACAGTAATATTATTGTTCTAAAAGAGCATTAGTTATTCAGCACTATTAGTGCGAGTCCGCCTCTGTGATGGTACCTGGTATTAATAGTTTAGTTACAATAGGCTATAATTAATTTATCTTGTAAAGATTGTTAATGTAATGACAGTAAATTTTTATTTAAATAAAGTCTTGTATTTAATACCCATTTGCGATAAAAAAAAAAAATAATTTGTTTTGTAAAGGTCAAAATATTTATTTAATAAAATATAAGTTCAAGCCTGTCAATTCCTAAGCAAAATTAGAGACTTTATATACATATTTGAGTTCTAATATTTTTATACATAATAAATATGAGTTATAAGAAATAATAGAGATATAAAAGAAATATTATATTTATCAAAACAGTTATTTATATATATTAGTATAGAAACAAATACTCTGGCAAAGATAAAAAATAAAGATAAATAAGTAAAATAGAAAATATTCTAAAACAACAATAACACAAAAAGTATATATTAAATAAATAATAATAAGAATAGTAATACAAGAATTATTCTAGAATGGATAATTTTTTAAGAGTAAATGCTAATAAAAATCAAACAAGAAATGGTGATGATCTTAGGCAAAAATCAAATATAACAATAGATATTATCATATATTATTAATATTTATTAATATTTATTACAATAATTTTAGATAAGATTATTGTTTATAGTTATATAAGAACTTAAAAATTTTTTATTATATTCAAGAGCAGTTGTATTAAATGTTTTATTTAAATAATTATTTTGTATACTATTGTTATTAATTGTTTTTTTGATTAAAATTAAAGTATTTAAAGAAAGCAAGAAAATTTTGATTTTTTTTTTAATTAAAAAGACTTTAGTTTATTTGTCAATAAGTATATTGAATATATTTTAATATATATAAAGGTTATAATAGAGTCTTAATTTTATGATTTTTTTAATAATAATTGTTTTATTTTTATTTGTTAAATTGAATAAATATTGAAAATTTATAAAAATATTAAGATTTTTTAAAAATATAAATTCTATAATTAAGATTATTATTATAGTTAAAATTTTTTTTTTATTTTTTAAATAATAATAAAGGTGATGAAAATAATTTTAAAAGTTTTAATACTATTTATATTAAGTCTTATTGATATTAATAGTTTTGCAAAAAGTTATTTAAAAAAAAATTAGATATAATTGTTAAATTAGAAATATATAGTTTTGAAATTTTGTATTTTAAAAAATAATAATTGTTAAAAGTTTTTGAATATTGGTTATAAGAATATTTAGAAAAATATATTGATATTTAGAAATTAAAAGTATTTTAAAAAAAAGTTTATTGGAATTTTTAAATATTTGTTTTTTATAAAAAAAAATTTTTATTAGAAACAATAGTAATTACAAAAAAAAATATTTTATTATATATATTTTAAGTATATTATTTAGTTAATTTAAAAATTTTTTTATTAAATTTAAATAGAAAACATCAAATCATTAATGTTTTGATAATAAGTAAATAAATTATTATTTATATTTATTTAAAAAAAAAGATTTAATAAATAAAATTATTTTAAATTAATTGTGATTTTTTTTATTTATATATTATAAAGTTCGATGAAATTTTTAATTTTAAAAAATATAATAATCTATTATTTAAATATGTTGATTTAAGTATTTTATTTTTTAAAATTAACAAATAATTAACAAATAATTTTTTTTTAGCCTCTAATCAAACTGCAAATGAAAATATTTATTAATCCAATTTTGGAAAACAGTAATACAATCCATATGATATTATAGTAAAGCTAAACTAGTACAATTTTGCAGAATACTTATTAATGAGTTTAAATTCAAATTTTCTAAATGTGATTATAGGAAATAATAATATTGTTCTTTTTTAAGACAAGATATCAAAAGTCTATATCTTGAAAGATCAATGCCAGCTTACATTTAGACAATTACTTCAACATAAACCTATAGTTCTAAAAGGTAAAAATTTTTATTTTTTAAGAAATTGAAAGTGAAAAGAAAAAAGGAAAAGAAAAGATTTATATTGATAAACAAAAATTCTTCTTGATAACTATTTAATTTAATCACTTGTAACTGAAGAACTATTTAATTTCTATTATTCTATTGTTGATCAAGAATATTTAAGAGTATTTTCAAAAGAGTATTTCTTGAAACTTTATGCTTGAAGACTTTTAACCTTTAGAGAGGATTGATATTTCAATTGGCAATTTCTTTTTCAATCAAATTTCCAAGGATTTATAGTTTAATTCAATCAGTAAATAGTTTCAAGACTCCTTTCTCCAACCATTTTCAAGATAATTAATAGTAGAGCTAGTTTATTATTAAATTAAAATAAGACCTTCTTTTAATCTTAAAGAGAAATGAAACCAATTTAAAAGGGAAGAGGAAAAGCATCAAATCACTTAAATAATTAATAATTGATTTAAATATAAAATATAAGTATTTGATAAACATTTTTAAATAATAATATATAAATTTCAATGAAGTTATTTTATTATTAATTATTATATTATTATTAAATTATATATACTGTATATAATATATTTATTTTTTTTAAAAGAAAAATAAATATTTTTAATTATTATTCCTAAAAACTTGATTAAATAAAAAAAGCACTGTATATTATATTTCGTTACAAGTTTAGTACATTACATACATTTCAATTATAATTAATTTAATGGTATTTTTGGCAATAGTTAAATTAAAAAAAAATGAAATTTATGCAATTTATGAATTATATTAGGGGGTGAACTTTTAAGGTTTAGTACACTGCATTGTGCATTAAAAAATTAATAAAATGATTCAGTTATAGAACATTTTGTAACAATTATTTGGAATAACAATTACGTCAATGACGTAAATTGTATGCAATAACGCGCTCCCACATCCAAATATTTCGGCCATCGATATTGATCGGAAAACAAACGTTGCCGAATCTGACAGATTTGATCAATTTTTTGCCGGATATATCCAAATGTAAATAAAAGAAAAAATTGATACTGGAACGAAGGTTTATTCGTTTCATTACATGGGGTAACACTTAATCCTTATTAGGACATCCGATGGCTGATATATAGCCAATACTATTTAGCGTGTGCGATAACTTTAATTTGAGAAACATCAATTAAAAAAATTTTTTTCAATCTTCATTAACCAAAATGTCGCTAAAAACAATGAACGGCCTTCAGTCTGAAGGTCCCAACAAGAAATACTCAAAGACAAAGAAAGTGAAGAGACAAACCACACTCAAGAAATTTGGCCTATATTTGGTGAACCACCAAATTGGTGAGAAAAGGTTGAAAGAAACTCGAATATTAAAATTTGCTTTTATTAAGATTTCTATCCCTTTGATTTAATTGACAGAATTCCCTATGATAATTCTGGCAATCCTTGCCTTCGCATATTTGGTTAAAATTCCCGGTTCAGAAAAATTCTTTTTTTTACATCGCAAAATTCCATTCACCGGATTATACACCAAGAGTATCGATGACGCGTATTTTGTCGCATTCTGGGTCGTTTTGTTTACCTTGTTACGCGCAATCATAATGGAATATATACTGACTCCTCTGGCCAAAATCGGTGGGATCAAGGACATGAATCAGAGGACGAGGTTCGCGGAACAGGGATGGTCTTTC